ATATATATATATATATATATATATATATATATATATATGTAAAGTGAAAGTAAAATAAATTACAGAGATCGCGAGCTCTCATTTTCTATTTCTAAATCATTTTAAGAACATGTAAATTTTGGTTTTTAGGAAAAAAATAGATCTGGATTTTAAATTACTGTAAATCTATCAATGTAGAAATATATATATATATATGTGTATTTTTTTTTACGTATGCCGAACGTCTTAAAGATAAGTCTTAACGCTTTTTTATCTTATACGAATCTCTTCGAAAACAGAAAATCTCAATTTTATCCGCGACGCTTTGTGCAAGAATGCTATCCTTTTGACGCTAGGCAGTAAGCGACGTCACCGATCTAAGCTCGATAAGTAAGGGAGATGTACAAAATTCTACTATGATTGTCTACCAAGCAAACGAGCAAGAGAAAAAAAAGAAATTAAAGAGCGAACGAGAGAAAGGGAGAAAGAGCGAAAAAGGGGGTTAAAAAAAAGGTACGACAAAGTATTTAGAGACGGAGAAAAACAAATTCAACGGCTTATAAAAAAAAAGCGAGCACACTCTCTAGGCCGAGATGATCGCTATAAAGTTATTAAGTATAATGATTGCCTTCCTGCCATATTTGGGGTATGCCAAGTATAAAAATTATAAGGTTTAGGGATTAGAGACGAGAAACTGTGGCTTCGACACGACAGACCGTGTCGAAATTTCGGTGAGTTCGGCGACCACGAGTGTGTCTGTGCATCGATGTGAGATTGCGAAACCTGAATATACGAATCCGCGTGCGTGCGTGCGTGAACGCGAGTGTGAACGGGAACTGTGAGTATTGAGTACGGACGAGGGAACGAATGGAATTGCGAGAATGAGTGAAAAGAAAGAGAAAGAAAGAGAAGCTCGTATACGTGTTCTTCTTTCGGAAGATCGTGCTATTTTTCAAAATTTTACAAAACACATCGCGCGCGTGAGATTCCGCAAAAGGGATCTCGAAGTCCTCGACAATCGACGAACGAGTCGTGCCGACCAGCTTAAATGTGTGCAGACGAGGTGTAATTTTAACGCCGCGACAAAATCGGGAGTGGAATTATGCACCGGCCGAATTTATTGGTGTCGCTGTAATTAATCGCCTCTGCTAAATTCAGACCCGCGTGGTTTCGAGACTCGATTACCGCGAGGTAATCGCATCTCTCCGACGGTGCCGATACGAAGATCCTACATTTGACCACTGTCACTAATAAGCGGGAGGGGAGGGGAGGCAATTCTTATTATAATATATGGAGCAAATAGGGGCAAAATTGTGCACGATTAGAATTTATTGGACCCTGTAATTGATCGTCTGTGCTAAATTCGAGTCATCTGGTTCGAGATTTAATTATCGCGAAGTATCACCTTTCGACAGTGTTAATATATATGAAAATCCTCGCTCGATCATTTATATCTCCGATCGGGTTACAAACGAGTCCTGATTTTTCGAATAGTTTAATCCTAAATGTTATTTGTCGCGAAAACGGAATTTTCTGGGATTTTAACATCGGCACGCGCTGGTTCGGGAGAGAGAGAGAGAGAGAGAGAGAGAGAGAGAGGAGGAAGAGTGCGAGAGAATACCAGTGAGAGCGTGTGTGGAGGGGTGTGTGTGTATGTATGTGAGAGAAAGAGACTCCTTGTAAATGTAAAAAGTAAACAAAAAAAATTCGAAGTGGCCTTCGGTGAAAGGGAAAGATCATCGCTTTTCGCTTTTGCTCGCACGAGGCTTTTGGCGAAACGAGCCATCCGTGTTATCCATTTGTCTGGAAAACTTTACGGAAGAGAGGGTAAAAAAAAGAAAAAAAATCGCAGGAAGAAGAAAAAAATTGTTTCTCGCGCCACGCTCATGCTGCCGGAATATTTCCATGAAAGTGAAGGAGGGAAAACGGGGAAGAGAGAGGAGGGGAAAGAGAGAAAGGGATCGCGCGATATCGTAGCACGTATCTGAGGGGTGGGGGAGGGTTTCTCGACTAGGAAACAAAACATCGGGCAAGTCAAAAAGGTAAAAAGGGGGGGAAAAAAGTAACACGTTATTCTTGATACAAACGACTTTTGTGCGAAAAAAAAAGAACGCGACGGTGTGTGTCGCGAGGCGACACGCGGACGGCGGGTTTATTATTAGTATACGCGTTTGCGAGAGACTGTCAATCGACCACACGTTTTTCATTTCGGCGAGAGAAATTCGGAAAGCGCGAATTCTATTTACCATTTAGGCATTAATGTGTTCAAACGTAAATTCGCGCGATACGTGCGATGGCTAAAAAAAAAGAGACGAGAGACAAAAAAGGAGAATTGCGCGAGGGAGCCGAAATTTAGTGGAGAAGCGCAAGCTGAATCGCGAAAAAAAATTCAGGTGCAACAGGAAGGGAGAGAGGGAGAGAAAGAAAAGCGAGAAAGGGAGAGAATACACGAGGTCGCGAGAGCGTGGGGAAAAGAGAAAAAGAGAGAGAGAGAGAGAGAGAGTGAGAGTGAGAGAGAAAGAGAGAGAGAGAGAGAGCGAATGCGGAAGAGTTTAAAATTAAATATTGTATAAAAAGAAAAAAAGTAGTAAGTGCCTTCCAAAAAAAAAAATTTAAGTGTCCCGTAGACCGTGACCACTTGACTAAGCGACGAGAAAAAGTCATTCGAAATTCTGCTGAATGCATTACTCGTGTGATCACGTTTGTAGGTGCGTTGCGTAAGTCCCGACACTTCGCTTTTTCTTCATAAGTTGACGCTTTCGTTTTCCTCGGCGACGGCGTTCGCCGTCGGTACGTGAATCGAT